ATCAGAGCAGACATCGACTCAATCTACGCAAATAAGGTAACTCTTCAGCTAACCTCGACATCGAGCTACTTCGAATCATCTGCATGTTACCCACGTAGAGGCAACATTCAAACAGAAAGGATGAGCTATCATAATAATATAAGAGGAAGCATAATAATGAGCAGGTAGAAATTCAAGTACACATCATTATACATATTTACCTCACATTTTCTTGTACATCAAACTGTGAAACACGTCAACATAATTAAGTGCATAAATAGCACAAAATATCCATCATAACGAAAGTAGAAATTCATTCAACGCTCAAATAATCAATTACTAACAATCATGCAATGCAGTGAAACTGACACTGACTCAATGCATGTGGTACCAATAAGGAAAAACTCCCAACTTAATAAATTCCAACTTGGTGAAACAACGCCAATACATGCTATCTTTCGCCAATACATGTCATCTTTCGCCAATACAGTCTATCTTTAGCGAATGCATGCGACACTGACATGCAACAACATAATTTCATATTGATTATTCTTATCTATCAATGTCACGCCAATACAGGCCATCATCATTATCATTATCATGTATATCATGTCACACAATCAAAATTCAACAACATAATTTCACATTGATTATTCTTATCTATCAATGCCATGCCAATACAGACCATCGCCATCATCATCATTATCATGTATATCATGTCACACAATCAAATGAAACAACATAATTTCACATTGATTATTCTTACCTATCAATGTCACACCAATACAGGCCATTGTCATCATCATCATCATGCAATACATCATGCAAATAATTAAACCATTCATACAACATCATCTTACTTAATCACAACATAAATCATCGCACATTACTCATAAATATACACATATAGGCACCAACGTTAGTAAAATGATTAGCTATTGCATTCCAATTTATTTTTATAGAATAGAAAATGATTTTATCTTTTCAACGGTCCAAATGACGCTTCAAACGGACACCCGAGGCGAAATTTATGCAATTTACAATTTTACAAAATTTTGTCTAACACAGTGGTAACCGGTTATTGTATTACGGTAACCGGTTACTGCGCAAGTTAGTAGCTCTATTTTTTAAAAATATGCCAGTAGTAACTGGTTATTGCATTACGGTAATCAGTTAATGCATAACACAATAGCCTTTTTTCTTCAATTTTTCACGTGGTAGCTGGTTACACCACCAGACCAGTAACCGGTTATCTCTGTTGCAGAACTCAAAAATATGCAACTTTTCCAAATGCGATTTTCCATTTTTCAAAACCCAAACTTCCAATATTCCCATAAAAAAATTTCTTTCGAGCATGCTAATTATTCACCAACATTGTCTATCAATTCTAACCAATTTATATCATCTATTTCATCAAAACATACCAAAAATATCAAGAATTCATTATTGAGGAAAAAATCCCAAAACAACCAAATAGGGAGAAATCAAGAGCATACAATCATGGAACCTAAACACTACCATACCCCATCATTAGGCAACTCGTTACAGTGTTAGAATATCCTCTTACCTTATATTTTTGTTGATTCTTGATTCCTACGGTGAAATATCTTGCCCTGGCTTCCTAGTGCTTTTCTCCTCTTCTCACTTTTACGCTTCTCTGGTTTCTACGATCAATTGAAAATAATGACTCCCTCTCTCTCTCTTACCCCTAATACCTATATACCAACTTTGTCCCTCCTCTTATTACTAGTTTTATTTTAATCATTTAATTATTAATATTATAAAACACTATTTATCTCTTATAATAATAATATTAAATATAATAATAATAATATCATTAACACTAATATTCTCCATTCACCCCATGTCTCTACACTTTTACCTTTAATGTTTTTAACTTCTTAAATTATCACTACTTCTAATCTTTCAATAATTCCATCAAAACACATATAAACACATCATAAAATTCACCAACTCATATAAATACGTCACATCATCCAAGTATTAAACAAAATAATTTCAACTAATTCATAAGAATACACCGCATCCTTTAATTATTTAATTAAAAACAATTCTAATTAAATCAGGGTGTTACATGAAGTCTATCTCCTCCATAGCACTCTTTGGAGTAACTCCTAAGGACTCTACCAACAACTTCAGTGCCTCCTCTTTGTTGCACCTTTCATGGTCTAAAAATCTTCTTCTTATCGGAAGATGCGGCAGATACACGACATCGTCCAGTGTGATCACCATCTCATAATATGGTAGATGAAATGATGATGTCTCATGATGATATATCTCAACAAAAGCGTTAATCATACCATGATTAATGATAGCATATCCCCAAAGGGTCAAATCTTTCAACACTAAAAACAGCAAGAGCTCCTGAAACCATGGCTCAGGGGGAGCTACCAGGCGAGTGATCTATCGCACATGATTAATGATCTTTAACGGATCACGTTTCTGCACATGGTTTAACAAAATTAATTCAACCAAACAAAACTTAATAATAAAATAAACACTACAAAAATTAATAGTTAAATGTAATATTTACCTCTTCATCCTAGATATGTCTGGCAACATGGTCCGGATATAGAGGCAATAATGATAAATTGGAAGGCCCTCCTCCAAAATCATGAGGTTTTACGGGTGCGGCATCATTGCTTGGGCCTCAGGTGTTGCATATGACTGAGACTGGGATGCAAATTGCGGTTGGGATTGAGGCCGGGTACATCAGGCATCGATTGTGTGGCCTCATGTGTCGGTTGGGAGTGTGGTGTCTCTTCTGCCTCAAATATCATATGTGAAGCAGTGCGTCTACCAGAAGATGAAGGCAAAGAGGGATGACATGGAGAACCTCGCCTGCTGCTAGAGGAAAATGAAGTAGGCGGAGAAATGTGAACATTGAAATCTGTAGCCGCGTCCGCCATAACATGTCCATAGGTAGAAGGAGCCCGGGATGCCTGGATTCTTTCCCTATGAACCGAAGTATGATGTGAAACTTTGTCGTGTCTCAACCTAAATGGTCTTTCAGACATAACTCTTGTAGAAGTACGAAACAAACGATACCAAAAATACTCATGTTCAAAAAATGGGAAAAATGCAGACAGACTAAAATCGGAGATGCATTTCCAGTTTTATATGGAAACATTGAATAAAATCGGATATGTATCTCCGGTACGACTTACAACTTTTCTGCTTCGACAATGGTGAAGGTCAGCCACTAAGACCTCAAAAGAACTGTCATTGATCGTAAAAACAATCATACTAAAACGTTTATTCCTACTTATAGGCTTGCAAACACTAAAAATTCTTGAATTATCTAACTAAAACACAATTTTTATGTGAAATTACATTAACTCAAAAAAACTCAAAAAAAACTTACAATTTCTTATTTTTGTTGGTAGATAAATCTTGAACAATGATGTTTGTCTGTTGCTTATTGATTTCTGATAAAATTTTCGCACAATAGGATAATTTTCACACAATGGAAGTTTGAGAAGGTTTTGTGTTTGAGCTCAAAAGCATTCTCTGAAATGGGGAAGGGGAAGAGACAGTGTGTGTATTTGTGTTAACACGAACCGGAATGCATTTACAGACCCGTCTTATAAGTGCATTTCTGGTTCATTTCTGCATGATATTTGAGGTTTTCAAAAATACAACTACAAATCTCTCCCGTAAATGCATTTTCGGTTAGTTCCCTCCTCTATTATAGGATCTTGTCCATCAAAGGTCTGACTAAGGATGCTTCCGAAAATACATTTTCGTTAAGAATATTTATGTATTTTCGCACAATGCGTTAGAAAAACATACTTTGTGTTAAAAAATTCCCATTAACAATTACCACTTGAGCTACTTGATCCACCCAATTTTAGACTTAAAAAGAGGAAATTCTAAAAACCCAAAAATTATATAAAATTAAAATTGATGTCAAATTGTATATAGGAATTTATTCACCGTCGATTTCGAAGCTTTCCTTGCTGCCGATTACAGATCTTTCTCCACCGACGATTTCGAAGCTTTCCTCACTGTCGATTCCAGATCTTTCCTAGCTACCATTCGAATATGAAAGTTATTTCTCCTATATCGTATTTGTAATCGTCTTTCCCTTTAATGGTGTCTCAATTGAAATAGTTTCAACTTTAAATCTGATCTACGTAAAGGTTAAATATATAAATTATTTAATGAATTAAAAAAAAAAAAATTTACTTATAATAGTGATCAGAGAGAATATTTGTTTTACTATGTGATTTTTATATAACTGTGATGTTGTTCTTTCATCACTATTTTGATGAAATAAAACTGCAATTGAATTGAAGGAAAAGAAAGCAGCATAGATGGGTGGAAGGTTGGGATAGACTGTAGTCACCGGTGCGGAGGCAGTAGGACGAGAGAAGATGGTTCACGCTTTTTCTTGCTGATATTAAATATGCTTTTTCTTTTTTCAAAAAATAATAACTGAACATGTGGCATTATTTGATGCTTTAGATTGATCGGAAGAACAAAATTGGTTGAAAGGCACACCGTGCCTTTCCCGCCTTAAAAGCCCCCAATCCTCATCCCTTATCTTAGTGTCCTGCAAAACTAGTCCATTAAAAAAAAATCACTAACAACTTTCTCATATGGAAAGTCACAAACTTTTGACGACTAAACTTTCCAGAGATGAAAGAGAAACTGCTAGATTTTTAACTCATTATTATGGACCTGTTTACTTTAGTTTTAAAATATATATATATATAAAGAAAATATTTTCTAAAAGCTAAAACAAACCTTAAAATGACGCGTGACAGAATTTCATATCTCTATTTTTCTTTTTTTTCTCATATGTACAGTACAAACATGTATGAGATCTTCACTTATTCTGAGAGAAAAAACAATATTGTTTAACAAATCGAAGATGTATATAAAGTTATGAACGATGATGTTTATAAAATATATACGCAGAATTAAACATGTTAATCAAAAGCAAAAACTTTAAACAGTATAATAATACATATGCTAAAATGCATCCATCCAGAAGCTTAATACTTATAGTCCTTAACATACAAGCTCTCAGAAGCCAATCCAGTTTCACTTCCACCACCATACTTTCCCAAAGTAGCTTCAGAATTGGCCTTGCATCTTGCCAAAAACACATCTTGAGCTTTGCCAACATTCTCTTTCTTTCCAGACCATGTCTTGAGTGTGCTTTGCTGCAGTGCTCTCCCAAATGAGAATGAAAGTGTCCATGGCTTCACAACATCAAACTTGTTCATTGCATTCAAGTTCAGTGTAGCTTGTTCTTCACTTTGTCCTCCTGACAGAAATACAATCCCTGGTACCGCAGCTGGGACAGTTCTGCGCAATGCAGTAACTGTGTACTCGCCAATCACCTCAGGTGATACCTGCATACAGAAATGCATGTTGTTTGTTTTCCAAGTTAATAAAGTCTCAGTAATATACTTCATCCCTCTCATTGATTTTCTCCCTAGAGTAAATAAAGACAATAAGTAGTCTCTAATGCTTTATCTCATCGGTCCAGTTGACTTTTTACCTTTTGTCAATGTGTAATTAGAAACTAACGATGTGACAAAACGTTGGTGACTAATTATTTTCACTAACATGAGAGACCTCAGACAAAAGATTGGTGATTTACTAGTTTTTCAAATTTGAGTGTTACCTTTGGGCTATCAGAACCGGGGGTGACCATGTTGGGCTTGAGAAGAGTTCCTTCAAGAAGGACATGTTGATCATTCAGAGCCTTGTAACAGGCTGCAAGCACAGTTTCAGTAACAGCAGCACATTTGGCGATGTCATGAGATCCATCAGTTAAAATCTCGGGCTCAACAATAGGCACGAGGCCATTCTCCTGGCAAATGATGGCGTAGCGAGCCAACCCCTGTGCGTTTTGCTGGATAGACAACTCAGAGGGTTCATTGGGGCCAATCTTGAGGACTGCACGCCACTTGGCAAAGCGCGCTCCAGCCTTGTAGTACTGCTGGCATCTAGCTCCAAGAGAGTCAAAGCCTTGTGTTGTTGTTTCACCATTTGTTCCAGCCAATTCAACAACACCCTTGTCAACTTTGATGCCTGGTATGACATTGTTCTCTTGGAGGATTTCAACAAAAGGCTTCCCTTCAGAGGACTTCTGGTAAAGAGTTTCCTCAAAGAGGATGACACCAGAGAGGTATTGGAGTGCATTAGGAGAAGTGAAAAGAAGTTCGCGAAGAGCTTGACGGTTGGCCTCGATGTTCTCAACGTTGATGCTTGCTAGACGCTTGCCAATGGTCCCTGTGCTTTCATCTGCTGCCAAGATACCCTTGCCAGGGGTAGCTATGTACTTGGCATTCTTGATAAGCTCATCTGGATAATAAACCACCTCATATGGAATGAAAACCACACAGTATTATTATTACATGAACTTGATAATGAGGATTGAAGTTGAGGTAGCTTCTTAGACAAGATAACATGAACCATTATGATTTGACACTTTAGAATGACTAGTATGTTTATGCTATGCCGCAGTTATAGGCTACTAGTTTCTTAAATTTAAGAAAAGCTATAAGTAAATTAAAGCATGTGATAATTTTATAAAACTACCCTTATTAACTATTATTCGCAAGTTTTAATCATAAATGTATATACAACTATAATAATAGTAGTGCAGATAATATTAGCATAAGAGTAGAGTTAGAAGGAAAAAAACTAATGTCAAAATGAAAAAACAAAACGGAACTTATTTTAAAACATTTTTTGCACTAGAAAGACGGTTATTTTGTAACAGATAGAAGTATTTCATTAGATTGGAAAGTTTTACAAGTTTGTAGTACAATAGATAACTGTTATAGTAGAGTGAGTAAGCTTACATCAGAAGAAGAAAGAGGAGAATGAGCTTACCTGCATACTTTCCAACAAAGGCAGACATGCTTTGAAATTGATATTGGATGGCGGGAAACAAACACGACAGCACAAAAATTGAGGTTAGCCGATACCAAAGTTTTATAGATAAACCACTAAAGGAATATACCAAGAACTTCCTACCCAACCAATACAAAGACAACACATGTCCAGTGGTTTAGCCTAAGGAAGTTTATCTCTCTTGGATAGAGCAATGAGTGATCCTTCTACTTGCCAAGTGGCATTTCATCCTTTTCAATAATACCAATATATTTGTGGTCATGTTCATCATCAACTAGGAATTGTTTCTTTTAGAAAATATCAAGCCTACATACAAAATTGAGATATTAACCTCAAGGATAATATCCTAGTATGTGGATTGTTTGCAGAACTCTGTCTCAGCCACATTTTAAAAAAAAATTGTTCTTTTTCAAAATCAAGTTTAACATTCAAGAGATACATGTACATGCATGTAATTAACACCTGCATATCATCCTCAATTGTGAGTCAGATTGAATAGAATTAAATAAGCTAGTGAATGCAAAAACCTATCATAACTTTACAGACCAAGAAATAGTACAACTCCAATAAAATTAAATTATTATCATTTCTACAATTATATGAAGTACAAATCAAGGACTTCATGAACATATAAATCAGTATTGGCCGAGAATAAGTTGAAAGAAAAATTCTGGTATAATAACAAAAGATTATACAAAATTTGCATTGGAGAATTCCAACTATGTGCATTAAATAAAGAAAAACAAGGATTATGCTCAAAATTGATTTAAAACTAGCACTCAGATCCTGGCAGAGACCCAATTCAGTAAAGTCTAATCTTTTTCGTTAAATAATGATCAACCACAAAATATTGTGGATTTTTCCCGAGAATAACTACTTCGAACAGTCTTCCACCTAGCTGGTCATCATCGTCTGTTCCAGAGTATCAATCCCCAAATCCATCCTAGGAATGACATGGAAATCTTCATACGGACCAATCAGAGGAACCTTCAGCAGATTGTGCTATGTAGACCTGAGGCTGAGAATCAGGTAACGGAGCCGAAGTAAGGGTTTGATGCAGTGGAAGAAACAGTGACGGCCGCAGTAGCTACGGTTTGCTTGCAAAAATGCTCAAGATGAGCTTTGTGACACAGGAGTAAGGTTTCAACTTCTTCGATGGAGACAGAAACAAATTTTCCACTTAAAGTTCTGATAGTACATTAAGTCAAGATGTTTGCGAACTGAAATTGGTACACAGATGGCATTAATTGAACCATTTAGAGTTTGAATGAGCAGGAGAAAATCAGAGACAGAATAATCTTAGATGTCAACATTTATCCTCGGAAATCTTTTGCAGACCACATGCACACCTTGAGGTGCCTGGCAAGACTAGAGAATGTGTAAATCATTAGATACAAGAAAGAACAGGCAAGAGAAAATAATGAAAAAAAAACAAGATTTACATAATAGATAAAGATAGCAATAACTAACTTACATGGGTTAAGAAAATATAATATTGGACTCTGATACACCGTTCCTTAAAATTAAAGAAATTGCTTGAACAGCAGAATTACCTAAAGAAGAAGATATTATAATGTTAATCAAAATGGAAGACAAACAAATTAAATGTCAATTTAAAATCACTCTAGTTATGTTAACTGCTGCATAACTTAAAGTTGTAGTTGCAGTAGGCAGCTGATGATGGTTCATGTGCATTTTTACATGCTATAATTATTTAGAGACTGCTCGACTGTTAAAAAATGAAGGACTAAACTGGAAAAAAAATTGGTCCATGCATGATTTCTAAATAGCCAAAGGAATGTAATAAATTTAGAAGCAAAAGACTGTAAGATTTTGTTACTCAACAAACTGAAAACCAATTGATAACCAACCAGTTCCAAGAACAGCAGACACTAACTAAAGACAAAATGATAAATAACTATGATTTCTCTCTCATATGAATGTTCAAACTCAATAGCTATGTGTGTCATATGATTGTTCACCAAATTATATTTAGATAATTACACACTACAATGTTTAGCATAAAATTGAGTTACACAATATAAAAGGTATTGAAGTAACTTTTACATTGATTTTATTTTGTATTGACCATCAAAAACTAAAGAGTAACGACTTGTTTAAAAACTGAAACATTCATCTTGTGATGTTCATATGTCAGCATGCACAAAACACGCATTTAGACCATCTCTAAATTAAACATACATTACAAGAATGATACACCTGTGCCTAAGATAGGATCCCACAGTAACACATGCCTATCTGAGATATCATTTGGCAACTTACCATATATTTGCTGCTCATAATCAAGAGATGAATTAGACATTGTAAAATGAAACAAATAGAGACATACTAAGCATATATGCAGACGCAAAACCTGCTGAATGTTGTCAACTTCTCTACAAAAAAGAACTTTTACAATCTTCATACTTGAGCAGCATGCTCGTGAAACCTATGCTTTCCCCACTGAAATTAGATAATTATATCAAAATTAAGGATATGTTTGCTTTTTTAAGAAATGAACTTAATTGAAAAACTGTAGTGATGGGTTCACATCAAACTAATTAGTATGAAAAAAAGAACTGGTTTCTTAAAGCATAGTGGGGGATAAAAGATCATCCATTTGTTGGAATTGTTTAAGGAGGAACAAGAGAAAACTCTCAAGACAATATTTTTAACCAAAGATGCCAGTAATTTATGATTCAGGTGATTTCAGCTTTGGAATAGAAGGAGTACCTCCCGATAATGCGAATAATGGACACACCATACAACCTCTTACAAAAATCCATATGGGAAACTATAAAGCCAGTCCCTACCTTTGACTTGACATTGACTCATTCCAGGGAAAACAGGCTTGAGCAAAATGGAAATCATCACACACTGCTATAGTGCCCTGCATTTAAAAATGCATAAAGATACAGTCTTTTCTGAAGCTATCATGGAAGAGATTTGTCTATTTGGTTGATCGGCATCATTTTCTTATAGCTTCTTTTTATTTGATAGTCTTTTGAGGTTAAATTGATCTACATGTACATCACTCCAAAAATGTAACTAAATAAAAATCGTTAGGGACTATTTCATGTACATGATATATTTTATGAAACATCTGCAAACAGCAAAATACATTCACAAAATCTGTCAAAAATTTACCCGGGGAAAGAGGACCGCAGATTGAAATGCCCTGGTGTTACAGTTGTTCAATATGGAATTTATTGCAATTAGCATCATGAACAATAGACTATCGAGTATAATTATATGATAACCATTGATTCCGATTCTATCAATAAGTAACTCTCTGACGTGGAAGTCAAACTGCAGATTGATTTGCAGTCTTTTCATGATGTCCAAGATACAGGCTAATCGAATCAAAAACAAGGCTAGGAACAGTGCAACAAAATGGCAGCACTAGAGAAACCAGAAAATGGTACGTATGGATCCATATAGGAACAAAAACCAAGGGCCAAAGATATCATCATTGGGAGGGGGTCTTACCCTTTAAGGAACAAATACTACAAGATATCTTTTTTGAAGCTATCATGGAAGGGATTTGTCTATTTGTTGAATTTGGTAAATCTATATATTTGTTGACTCTGGTAAATCTAGATCAATTTATGATAGCTTCTTTGTATTAGATAGTCTTTTGAGGTAAAACTGATCCACATATATATCACTCCAAAAAAGTAAGTAATAATATACTTAGGGCCGATTTTATGTATATGAACTGAATATATGAATCATCAGCAACGAGCAAAATAAATTCACAAAAATGAGTTAAATATTGACTAGGAGGCAGAGTACCGCAGTCAAATGCCCTAATGGATTCACCCTTTTCATGGACCCTATGGACTTCCCTTGTGTTACTTTAATTTTAATAATGTCACACCAAATGTTGGCGGGTTGATCACCATGACCATAGTGGTTTCACCCTTTCCATGGACCCTATGGACTTCCTTGCTGATCATATGAAGCAAGGTATCATTTAAATAACACCAAAACAATGGAAATCAATGAACCGTCATTCTCACTTTCTCATCCGCTTCAATTATAAGCAGTACGGCCACTCCTTAATACTGATCACAGACTCATTCATATCACAAGTTCATAACCCTTCACTCATTCCTAAAGAAAGGCAAATCCTTAACAAGCTATCAGTATATTAAAAATTTACAAGTAGGAGCCAACAAAAAAGAAAAAAAAAACTGTTCCCATCCTCAATTATTCAAGGTCGTCGTCATCAAGCATTTTAGTCGTTTGGTTAAAACAAAATAAAATTCGAAAATAATAATAATGAGATGGCAAGAAATGACATGGATATGTAGATGAACCACATATTAATCAACATGACGATCTTAAATTGATTCGCTCTAAAAGTCAATTTTCTTTTCACTTGGTTCAAAAATTTACTATCCGAATGAAGTTTCAGAATTTCATAACAATAACATATAAATAATTGACAAAATAAGTCAGGGGTATATCATCCCATAAAAGCTTTAGCGAAATCCACTAATTTCTTCAAGCGTTTTTTGGTCTTCCTGGACTTCTTCTGTTTTTCCTTTTTGGTCGGGAGAGGCGTTTCCCTGATGGGGCCCGGGGGTAAACCCTTTTTTAGTGCACTTCCTCTCGGTGTAGCGGAGGGGGGAATTCTCAAGCTCTGAGGAGGTAAAGGAGTGTGTTGCTTCCAGACCAAGTTACTTTCCAAGGAAAATTGTACTTTCTTAAAACTTTTCTCCCCGCTCTTTGCTACTGAAGTGTCATCTTTCGCATCTACACTGTTCAAAACAAAATCCTGAGATGTCTCTCCTTTAGAGATCTCTGTTCTCTTTCTCTTCTTAGATACAACCCCAGTAGCAACACCATCACCCAAACTTGCTTCTGCAACAATCTTCTCAAACTTCTTTTGGAGGTTTGAAATCACACTCTCATTAAAAACCACACTACCTTCACCATCAACACCTCGTTCATCATTTGAATTTCCACCATTTTCACTAACAACGTTCTTACCATCATTCTCAGCAAACTTCATCTCACAATTAAAATCAGATGCATCACTCTTCTTAATCTTCCTCTTCTTCTTCTTTGGCTCTTTCACTTTATCAAAAGAATCCTTCTTGCCTAAACCATCAACTTCTACAACGGACACCAAATCCAGCACTACCCGATCAACAGAATCAGGAACGGAAAAATCAAACCCAGACTCAACAACATCCTTCTCCATCTTCAAGAACTCACGGTGCAATTCAAACAAAACCTTTCTATTCCCCTGAACACAATCAGGAGCAGAAGCCAACTCAAATAACTTTGAAGAAAAACCCATAACCAAAGCTATAGTTCCCAAATTCATAACGTCGCCATCACCACCACTTTCCTCTCCGCCTTTCTTAACCTCCAACAACCTCCTCCCGTTCATCAACAACACATTAAAAAAACCACTCTTAATCTTCCCTAACAAAACCTTATCACGTAATTTAGCCACAGCAGAGAAAAACGGTCTAAAAAGCGCTTCTAAAACACTCAACTTAACCGGAAGAAAAGGCTTAACCTCTTGAAGAAAAACAGAAGCAACATGATAATTAACACCGTTTCCCTGAACAAACCTATCTTTCGCAGAAAAAGTAGACTTATCCAAACAATTCACAAAAAGATTAACCAAATCCAAATTCCACGAATTCTTATACAGTAAATACAAAAAGCTCGATATAAACCTACGAATAAGGAGATAGAATTTGTCTAACCTAAGGGAATCGATACCAGACCATTCGCGACGCATGGTGAGGAAGAAAGTGGAGAAATACTGCAGCGCGAGAGGAAGATGACGGAATGTTGAGAGATGTGAAGCGATGCGGTCAATGAGATCGGCTTGAACGAGAGAGTTGTCGGAGTGGTAGACGCAGTAGAAAAGACCTTTCCAGAGCTTTTTGGCGATGTTTTGGGGGAGAATTTGTTGGGATCGCCATGAGTTTAAGAGAATGCGGAGAGCTTTGTCTCTTGAATGTTTCTGAGAGGAATGTAGATTTACCGGCGGCGAGGGTTTAACTTCCGACGACGACGGCATTGTCTCCGATACCGGAAGGAGGAAGAAAAGAGAGAAACTACCGTTTCGATTTTGCTTTTTTTTTAATTGTCGAAATCGTTTTATAATTAGTGATTTAAATGTTGGGTTAAAAATTGTTTAGATTTAAATGTTGGGTTAAAAATTGTTTAGATTTAAATATTGAGTATAAAAAATATTTGAAAAAAAGATATTGAGTTAAATGTGATATCGTATTTTAATTAGAATTTATTGTCATTAAAAAAACTATTTTTTTAAATTCTTTAATTAATATATTTAGATCACTAATAATATTTAGATTCGTGTGAGATATGGATTAAAAAATTTCTAAATAAAAAAATATTTTAAAATTATTTATAATTTATAAATAAAGTTGTAGTAAGATTATAATTTATTATTGTTCTGGACTGGGTCTGTCCATGACCCAAATCACCAGTAAAGCTCAATTCAAACTGTGTCACGTGCTATGCTGGGCATTAGATCCTCCGAGCATACCCGGTCACGGGTTATAGGACTAATACGATCATGTTCGCCACTGCCCGCTGTTTCCAGTGATTTCTGGTAAACAACCGCTAGTCTTCCAAACTATCGAATAAACTTACTGACTGTTATTCAATTTCTCTGGTAATTCGCAGGATCGACTAGATTGATCCTAGGACTTGTTGGTCATTAGGGTAACTCTCATGATCGAACAGGTATTCATGGCTTCTCTTAAAATGTTGTGTAGGTGTTTGACTTATTTCGATTTCTCTCTTAAAGATCTAAAGGTGTAATCAAAATATATGTGCGCGAAACTAAATTGCATTAATAAATGTTAATTGTAAAGACATGTAAAATTCATAAAAGACAAGTAAATGGCTTCGAATTATAAAAACAGTTAATGTAAAAGATGCTCTGGAATGTAAAAGATTCGAAATACGAAGAAAGCGTTTAATGCAAGAAATCTGTAAAATGACTTTAAGTAAAAGAGGCGTTCGAAGGATAAAAACTTGAAGATAAAGGCATGAAAAATATGACAGTTTTCTGAAATGTAAAGTGTTTGAAATGGAAAGAAAGCATTTAAATGTAAGCCATCAATGAAAAGATTTCGAATAAAAAGACTTTAAATGAGAAAACTTGTAAATGGTATTTGGCAGAAAGATAAAGGAAAGTACTGGAAATGGTAAAGGGTTTTCATTAAATCATAAATATGTGGTGCTATCATACGTACATTGCTCTTGCATTCGTTTCCCTAGCCATGTGGTAATTTGAATGTTTACTGAGTGTTTTTGTACAATAGATATGACACACGAAATCCTAATACTAAGACTTCTATTTATACTACTTCGACCATAACGGTCCTGCTATAAGATTCTGCCACGTTCAGAACATGCAAAACAATGCCTCTCTCTTGTTTCCACGTGTCTTCAAATGCTCCAGCACATAAATTTCAAACTTCGAATGTCCCGCTTGCATTTGAATTTCAAATGTTTTGGTACTTCTCCGCTTCGAACGCACTTCTTAGACACAACCTAGTTGTCATTTCGAGACTTCTTTAGATATGTTCCCATAATTGCCACTCGAAGCTCCAAGCTTTGATATGCTCATTCGAAACACTGCTTCTGCTATTTCGAAACATGGCGCTTTGTTTCATTTCAATCGAAACGTCCAATTCACTTGGCTTCTAATAATATTATCAAAATCTTCAGCCAACAAAATGCCCCTTTAAAATATGTATTTCGATTTCTTTGAGAAATACTTATTTTAAACATCTACACAAGATTTTGATGCGACCTTCGAATCATCGTAACATTTAATGCACTTGACTCCAGTCACGTCAATCACAACACTTTTTAGATTCCTTAACCGCCTGGAACCACTTCACAGTATGGTGCAGTTACAAAACAATGATTATCTTTAATCACGCTTACTACCAATGTTAACTTTACGCCACCTCTTCATCACACCAACCCATGAGTACCATGTATCACAACCTTAATCAGTGGATGCTTAAACTTCCACATTATAAAACATCATCAACTTAGTCTTTTTCTTTTCTTTCCACATTCTGAATCTTTTATCCATCTTCTCTCACCGAAAAACCCTAAGCTTTCAACATTCTTCAAAAATGTCTTCTTCTACTTCATCCCAACTCAAAAAGGTTTCCAAGAAGAAAGGAAAGACCGCAGGAACTACAATGGAAAGTAAGGTTATCACTCACCAAGGTCAATCCGTTCTTGCTCCCCAGATGATCTCAAAGGAGAAAGAAATGCTTTATGCATCTCAGGTAGTCATTCCTACCAACGTTGCTGGTAAGAGGTTAGCTTTAATGGGCCCTCTTACGGTTTTTGAAATTTTAAAAGATACCAGGAAAATTTTCCCAGTTTGCTATAGTTTCAAACCCTTGTTTAACAAAATGGACGCCCCTAAGGCAATAGAATCTTCTGGCTCAAACACCATGGAAAATCCAACTGTTCCTCCTAAGGACCCTTTTGTATTAGACTATGTAAAGAGTAATTTTAAACCGTTTCGATCTTGCCCCACCTCCGACACTGCTTACCAAAACTGGTTCAATAAGGTAGAAGCTAAGAAATCCCAGCAATGGGAAGAATTAGGTATCTACAACTTGATTAAGTTGTCGAAGCCTGGTTTCACTTACAGCCACCCTTTATTATTCGCGTCCCTCTATTTCTGGGACAGTACTTATAATACTTTCCATCTCCCTGGTGGAATGATTACCCCTACCTTCTTTGACATAGCGGCCATCACTGGGCTATCACCAGTAGGAGAAACATATATCCCTGACAACGAAGAATATTCGAGTATAATCGACTTCAAAGTCAAACTAGCAAGTTTTTCCAAGTTTATCAGCCATTACCATGCTGAAGGAGACAGTGTGTCTGATGTAGAACACATTGCTTTCCTTACCCTATGGCTGTCAAGATACGTCTTCTGCAGTAGATCCCTACAGGTAGCCAGTAGGTTTATTCCTCTAGCTAGGGATTTACACGAGAATCGAAGAGTGTGCTTAAGTGAACTGCTCTTAGTTGACCTTTATGAAAGCCTAAGGTCAGCTGTTTCGAGCCTAAAATCTCATACCTCCAAGAATATCCTGTTGGCTGGCCCTTTTTGGTTACTTCAGCTATGGCTAAATGCCATGTTCGAACCCTCCTTGTCAACTGCCAACACCATTGATGAACAAGACCCTGAGATAACTGATAGAATAGTCGAAGGCACTAGGCTGCGAAGATTAACTCCAAATGACGACAAAGACGACTTCAAAGTCCTATTCTCGAAGTACATCATGATATTCTCTAAGAGGCATAAGTTCGAAGAGACCATGGCGCCTTTTGCTTCGAGGGCTCATGGACCTTCCTGGTTCACCATGGCTCTCTCAGAAGCTGTCAAGAGCAAGGAGATTCAAGATGTATGGAGAGCCTTTTTGCTACCTAGACTCATTTCTTCAAGAATAACTCCTGCCAAGAATCAGATTTTCCTTTTCGCTTACCAGCCAAATTTTGTTTCGAGACAATTTGGCTTATGCCAACTAATTCCTGAACCCTTATTTCAAACTGAGAGTGCCATTACCTCTGGGCGAACTTTCAAGGCACGGGAAGCAAAATTACAGCAAGAACAATACCAAGGCTTTGCCCAGTTTGAGCTAATAACCTTCGAACCTACCCATCTTACAGCTAAGGGGTTTCTGGAATGGTGGACCAAGTTTTATCAAACTTATATGTTCGATACTCTTACAATTCAGCAGAAACTAATTGATGCCTTCGATGTGCAGGTACCAGCCAAGAAAGGTATGTTTACTCATGCCAAAGAGATTAAAGCTTTTCAAAATTATTTTGAAACTACTTATGACCCCACGCGCTTGGAATCCACTGTGCATCAAGCGGCTGAAACCTTGAAGGAAAAATTCAAACAAAAAGTTTCTAAGTTAAAACTTCCTTCAGGGTTGTCACCTGAGGATAGGTATAGGTTGGCATTCGAAATGCATCCACCTAAATTCCTTAGATTACCTACCTCAGAATTGGCTCTGGCTTGGTTTCCCCCATACCCTTGGTGGTTCACTTGCAAAGAGATGTTCAAACATCTTCAAAAGAAACCAAAGCCATCTGAGACTGTGACATGGGCTCGACATTGGCTCCACGATTTCCCAGGACACCTTCGTTACGACCTTTCTGCCATGTCGATTAAATCTGATCAAGGCACAGGTGTGAATGCTTGGGAAAATCCCAAACATTTTTCATTTTCCATATCTTTAACTTCTGCTTTAATTGTTTCGATTTTCAGCCATCAGGATAAAGACAGCTGCCTCAAAGTCGAAAGAAGGGAGTGCCTCTCAAGCCTCTATCGAAACTACTGACAATGTGACTCCATCCGAAACAACAACCATTGCTGCAACAACAACAACAACAATACCAACAACAACCAGTGTTCCAACTCCAACGGTAATCACTTAGCCTTGATGTTTCGAATTCAGTAACGTTTTATGGTTTGCATCTAACTCTTTGTTTAAATCTTTTCAGACCAACAAACTTCCTCCTACTACTCCAAAGAAGCGAAAATGAAACACCACTGGGGAAGACCCCAAGGCTGGAGGAAACTTACCAACTGCTTCGAAGAAGAAGCAGAAGAAGGATATTTCGAAAAATACCGTACCAACTAGTGTCTCTGGACTTGATTCCAGGGATGCTGCTCCCTCACCCAAATCCAAAATTCCACCTTCGACCTCCAACGTAATGTTGGAACGCATAGCTAGCAACCTCTCCTCCGAGAGTCCACAGGTAAATTGAACTTTAAATCTCTTTGAAAATAATAATTTCTTATTACCTTGGTGCATGCTTTTAACATTCTTTTGCTCCTTGCAGAACATCTTAAATCCAGCTTCCACTACTTCGACCTCACCATCAAAAGTTGTTGCTCCACTCAACTCCTCCCCTCAAGGAGATTCCAGTAACCTTGTACAGAACAAAGGTTCCTCCAATATGGCGGTTCTGGATGGAACTTCTGAACAG